TTTTTTTTTTTTTCCCTCCTTTTAAATGATATCGTTGGAATCAGTTCCCAGAAAAGGCTGACTTTTCCACAGCTCTCGTGCTGTAGAGCAGACAGTCACCAACCTTTACCAAGGAAGCAGACTCAGATGTTTGCACACACAGGGCACTAGTGCACCAGTGCCCTGCATGTTTAGAATGTTGCACAGAATAAGCATGCATTGGCACCTACTATGGAGCCCCTGGGCGGCACGAATGGTTAGACACTCAACTACTAGCCAAAAGGTTGGCACTTTGAATCCTCCTGGAGGTGCCTTGAAAGACAGCCCTGACAATCCGCTGCCCAAAACTCACATCTTTGAAAATCCGTGGAGCAGTTTTACTCTGTGCATAGGAGGGGGTCGCTATAAGTCTGAATCTGCTCTATGGCAACTAACAACAATGGATCAGGTCTGCGTGTGGCACAGGATGCCTGGGGATGAACGACAGGCAGTCCCCACCAGTTTTCTCCTACCAGGACACACAATATTCAAAACTACTACGCATCCAAGAACAGAATCAAAATGTGGCGATTGCCCTGAAAATTCTGCAAATGCACCATGTTTTCGAATCAACAGACTCTTAATCAAAGAGGACACAATTTTGGTGTTGATGGCTGGTTACTGGTTCTAATTCTGCCTTTTTTCTCAGACTAAAGAAAGACTATACACAATAATAGTAATACCATCGGTTGCCTCGTGATTCCCACGCACGGTGACTTCATGTATTGCGGAGCAGAACTGCACCACAGGGTTTTCGTAGCTGTGACTCTTCAGAAGCAGATTGCCAGGCCTGTCTTTCGAGGCACCTCAGGGTGGATTTGAACCAGCAAACTTTTGGTTAACAGCTGTCTGCTACCCAGGGATTCCTATAGATTAGGCCAAACCCCTTGACTCCGGGTCGATGCTGACTCATCAACCCTATCAGACAGAGTGGAACTGCTCCATCGGGTTTTCAAGGCTGTCTGTCCTTCCTTTGAAGAGCGACTGGTGGGTTCCAATCGCTGCTCTTTCAGCTAGCAGCCCAGTGCTTAACCATTGTGCCACTAGGGCTCCTTCCAAACAGTATGGCAAACCAAACTAAACCAACTCACTGCCATCGAGTTGGATTCAACTTATAGCGACCCCTCCTTGGGTTTCTGAGGCTACAGAAGTAGACTGCCCAACCTTCCTTCCGAGGAGGGGCTGATGGGTTTGAACTGCCAACCTTCTGGTTAGCAGTCAAATGCCTTAGGCACTATACAGTGGAGAAAAAGGAAGTTGGGAAAACTGAGGGCCTTGTTGTGTGCCCTAGGGTGGATTCTAACTCATAGCTATCCTACAGAACAGAGTAGAATTGCCCCCAAAGGGTTTCCCAGACCAAAATCTTTAAAGAAAGGAGCCCTGGTGGTGCAATGGTAAAGCGCTGTGCTGCTAACGGAAAGGCCCTGGAAGAAATATGTGGCAGTCTGCTTCCATAAAGATTTACAGCCTTGGAAACCCTATGGGGCAGTTCTACTCTGTCCAGTAGGGTTGCTATGAGTCCAAAGGACTCCACTGCAGTGGGTTTTCCCAGGGCTTTTTCTCCTGTGGAGCCTCTGGTGGGTTTCCAGCCTGCACAGAGCAGCTCTGTGGCCATACAGACACCTAGCACCTGACCAGGCTGGCATTCCCTTGAAGGTGCCAGCAGACATGCTGGCGGGTTTGTAAAGCCACTCTCCCCCTTTCCATTAGCAGTGGGGAACTTAACCATTGGGCCACCAAAGAGCATTCTAGAGAGGAAGTTTTAAAATAGGGTGGTTAGAGAAGGCCTGGCTGAGAAGAGAACTTGAACAAAGAGGGAGCCTTGGGGATGTCTGGGAGGAAGACATTCCAGACTGCTTGGAGAATGCAAGGCCCTGACCGGGAGCAAGGAGGGTAGCGTGATTGGAGGGTGATGGTGGTGAGGGAGTGGGCAGCCGGAGGAAGTGAGGGCAGAGAGGGAGTTGGGACCATTTTGTGGATAACTTCAGGTGTTTTAATGGGGGTAGTGTGGGGGCGTCTAATCCAAGGGATAGGGGAGCCAGGAGAAGGCACTCCAAGGGGAGGAAGGCGGGGATCCCAGGTAGAGGCTGGGAACTCAGCCCTGTGTCCTGCGCCCTTGGCCTGCCCGGGGCTTGAGGTTTAAATTGTCGGAGAACTGTTGGGAGGGTGGGAACCTAGAGGGAACTCCAGCCTGAAGGAAAAGTTTACAGGAAGTAAGGAAGTCCAATTACAAAATCTTGCTACGGCCTCATTAGCATTATAAAGGTTCCCTACGGGGGCTCTCCAGCGCGGGGAGCTGGGCCCATAGTCCAAACACACCTCTGAGGGGCTGTGTGGCCTCGGGCAACTCTTCTAACTTGAGGCAGACTCAGCTACCTCATCGGTAAAATGGGGCAAAAGGCCTTTACTGCCTGAAGCATCAGATGATATCATGCAAAACATCATTATTGTTTACAAAAAGCAAATGAAAAAGTGAAACTGACTTCAGATGGTTAACTCTACACAATTTTAAACTCATTTCTAAAAAGGACCAAGCACTGATTTATGCACTTCGCAGTGTGTCGGAACCTGCCCTCTCACCTAGCGCCGGCGGCGTGGCTGGGAGCCGCGGGGCTGGAAGGGGACCTGAGGGAGGTGGTGCAGGGGTGCGGCGTGGAGCCGGGGCTCTCTCCCTCCGACTCCCGGCCGGGTCCTCAGCCGGCGCTCGGGGCCAGGGTGAGCGGCTGAGGGCCGCAAACCGAGGGACAGGCGGGGCGTGCGGCAGCGACGCGGCCTGGGCGGAGTCCCCCCGCCCTCGCTCCTCCCGCCGCGGTCCCAGCCTCCCGGCCCCGCGCCGCGCTCTTTCTCCGACAGCTGCCCGGGGAGCCCAGCGCGTGGCGCCGTGTCCTACCCCGTCGGTCCCGCTCGCCGCTGCCGCGCCATGACTACCCAGAAGATCGTCCTCGAGGGCCCAGGACCATGGGGCTTCCGCCTCGTGGGGGGCAAGGACTTCGAGCAGCCGCTCGCCATTTCCCGGGTAAGACCAGCCTGGGACGCGCGCGAGAGCGGGGCGCTCCCGGGCAAGGGGCAAGGTGCCCCGGAGTCTTGGGGGCGGCTGGGCTCCCTCGGGCGCCGTCGGGGACGCTGGCTGCGGCTGCCTCTGCACCGAGCTGAGACCCGGCGGCGCGGCCAGGTGCGCAGGGTGCCCGGTGCGCTGAGCACTCTCCGCGCGCCTCGGGCCGGCTGCTCCACCATCCCTTCCCCGGCGCTGCGCTTCCCTGGGAGCCGGCGGCCTGCTGGGTGAGCGCTTGTGGTCTCGGCGAGAAAAGAAGAGGGTTCCTACGCCCCGGAAGCGCGGCCCGCCTGTGGACGCGCTTTGTGAACCCGCGGGGCTTGCGGGTTCGTGCAGGTCGCGCACGCTGGGAGATGGGGCTTCACTGTTCCTCTGAAGTTTTGGGAGCAGCAGGAAAGACCTGGAAAGTGAGGTGAAGTGGGTGGAAAGTTAATTTTACTGTGGCGGGTGGGGTTAACAAAACAGCCACCAAAACAACTAGACTTCCACCCTTGGGATTTGACCTATATGACTTAGTCTGACTTTCGGAAAAAGCAGAGCGTTTTTTTTTTTTTTTAAACTAACCCCAAATAACCTTCTTGCTCATTTTTCTCTCCTGCGGGTGGTCACCATTCCCTCTTTGCGTCAGGCATTCCCGGATTTTCGTCCTACCAAGCCAATTTTCCCCAGGACCTGAGTGAATTGGTACTTGGGTGGGGTGGGGTGGGGAGGGGTGAAGTGGGTGGGGTTCCCACCATGTGTGTATGTGTATATGGGTGTCTGCGGGGTACTTAAAAGCTAGGGGACCTATCACCTCCAAATGAAGTGGAAACCTCAGCAAGACCTAGACTCTGATGTAAGTGTGGAGACCCAGGCTTTGGCCATCTGTTGTTGTTAGGTGCCCTGAAGACAATTTCCACTTATAACGACTATGGTCAGTAGAACTACCAACTCCTCAGAAGGAAGATGGGGCAATCTATTTCCCAGTGATACTGCCTCGGAAACCCAAGGACGCTTCGCTATGAGTCGGGTCAGACTTGAGGGCACATAACTACAACAACTAGGGTTTTCTAGTCGTTAATCTTTAGGGCAGCAGCTTGCCAGGAGGAGCACTTGGGTAGGTGGGTGCTAAGGACAACATTTCCTTACTGAACTCTTAATTGTTGACCATCTAATGTGGTCCAGAAGAGCTCTGGTGGTGTAGTGGGTAAGGCATTTGGCTGCTAACCAAAAAGGTCGGTGGTTCAAACCCACTAGCTGCTCTGTGAAAAAAAAAATGAGGTGGTCTCCTTCCCTACCAATTTACATAGCCTTGGAAACCCAGTGGGGGTGGCTAGGAGTCTGGAATGGACTTGATGGCAGTGAGGTTTTTTTTTTTTTTTTTCCTTTTTAGTGGTGTAGTCCAAACGCAAGCTGCTGTCCCACTATGAGCTGCCACATTCAGTGCCTGCACCTAGAAGGCATTGA